CCAGTTCACGCTTACTATAGCCTATTCAGCAGCGGTAGCAAAGTATACTATAATTCACGCGATACTTTATACTACTATAACACGATAAACGATGAAGTGACCAGTATACCACTGGATGCTCCAACACAATGGGCAGTCTATGCAGAAACAAGGGGCAAGCTGTATGCCATATCGGATTTTGGCATTTATAGGGTGAGTAATAACTGTGCCACTATCGTTTATAAGACCAACTCCAAATACCCGGCACACCAGTCAACGCAGCCTGCAGTCGCTATTGAATACGAACCAGGATTGCTTGCTATTGGTAATGGCCCCCTCCTTTGCTTTTATAATACGTCCACGAACGATATGGATACGATGCGTATCTGCAGGGAGGCACCTGTAAGAACCATCACTAAACTCGGCGGTTGCTTATTAGTCGGCACTTATGGCGAGGGGATTTTTTTGGTAAACAAGGGCAAAAAGTACAAGCTGCCGCTGGATAAGAAAGGCTCATTAAAATTTGCCCATAGCATTGTTCCAGACGGTAATGGCTTTTGTTTTATCAGTACAAATAATGGGTTGTTTAAAGTTTCGATTAAGGCACTTATAAACGTAGTAAATAGCGAGATGGATCCTATTTATTATCATTATTTCGGACTAGCCGATGGGCTGGCGGTTACAGAATTTAACGGAGGCACTTTGAGCTGCTCACTCAGGCTGCCCAATGGCAAGCTTTCGTTTTCGTCAATGAATGGATTAGCAATTGTGGACCCTAAAAACATCAATGCGAAACCGCCGACAGGTCTTATATTGCCAGACTCTGTGCTGATTGACAATATACAATTAGGACACCGGGCGCCTCTGTTGCAACAACTTTCAAGTAGGTTGCAACACATCCGTTTTAAGATAAGTATTCCTTATGCCGGGGCCAGTGAAAATCTCTATGCATGGTACCGGTTACTAAGAAGCGATAGTAAGCTTGAGGATACTGTTTGGCTACCATTTAATACCGCTATTGAACATGACTTTAGCTTTACCGCGCTGAAACCGGATGCTTATAAGTTTGAAGTGAAAATATTATCTGGATTTGAGCCTGGCGAAGCGCGTTACCTCAGTATCCCCTTCATCATACAACAACCATGGTATTTGAAGACGTACAGTTTGGCAGGCTGGCTAGTCCTGCTAATTCTTACGTTTATTATACTTGTAAAATGGCGATTGAGTTATAGCATACGAAAAGCTCAACATCTCGAGCAGCTGGTTGTAGAGCGCACGCAGGAAATCAAAGAAAGAAAAACCCAGCTACAGCAACAGTATGACTTGCTGGAAGGACAGGTTGCTCAGTTGGGCGAAGCAAATCATCTCAAAGAACGTCTCATCTCAGTAATCAGTCATAATATTATAACTCCATTGCGGTATATACAACGCACCATCGGATCCTT